AATTTTATTGGGGGACAGCCATGGTCATTAGCTACACATTGCTTTCATGCTACAATGGCATAGTTGACTCTTTTAAGGAGGGCGCAGCTCACAGTGGCCCATGCGGGGATCAAACCGGCAACTTTAGTGTTATCTGCACCACGCTCTAACCAACTGAGCTAACTGGTCACCCCAGGAACAAACTTCTGTATGAGTTTTACAATAAAACAAAATGACAATATTGAATTTCATAAATGTGTTTTTAATCAATATACACTAGCCATACATTTAGTTATGTGTACCTTATGGGTGGGTTTTCATGGCTGTGTCTGCTTGTTGTACTCTCCTCTGTCCCATCCTTGCCCACCAAGGGAATTTCTATGTATCTACCTCAAGCCAGTGTCACCTGCTTTGCCAGGCCTGCCCTGGCTCCCTACTCCTCTCCTCTAGCACACTTCATTTCTCCTGTAAGCTACCCATGGACCTCATCCATATTTCTTTTGTGGCAGATGACAGGCTATGTGCTCCATGTATGTTTTTGTTTTTGAGTATTTGTCTATTACCCTAAGCAGTGAGTCCCTTGAAGGCAGGGCCTGTTTCCTATTTCACTTCATTAATAAGCTTCTAGCGTAGAGTGAAACCGTGGATTTTCAATTTTCCTTTTAATAAGCAAAGTTGTGTTGTTTTTATGTTGAATTCTAGCCTTACTCCCAGGACTAGAGAGGTTTTGGTGGAAACCTTGTGGAGAGGTTTTACCTTCCATAAATAGAAACTGAGCCAATTCTGTGTATCACTAGCTAATCCATGTCTCAATATCAGTGGACTGGTATGTAAAGATGCCCCAAAACCCGCATGCTATGCATTATTTAAGTAACTCCCTCTGTCTCTTGGATGCGTCATGTTTCTACTATTTATTTCTATTGATGACAATGACACTTTACAACCAACTTTCGTAGTCTCATCATTTACTGCCAGAGGTGGATGTAGCATTAGATGAAGTCCAAGCTCAAAGCTGTTCTAATAAGAACAACTCCTTCTTGTTCACTAAAGTGTGTGTTTGAGACTGTTTTGTATGCATTGAAATTATTCTGCATGTAATATTCACTTTTTTCCTTTTTTAAAAATATCCTTTTATTCCTTTTGAATTTTGTAGTATGTGCATGGCTTACCTATCTTTTTTGAAAGTGGCTACTTATAAAAAATGTTATAGGATATACATACATATGTGTACACATATACGTAGTCTTTAAAATAAGAGAGTGTTAATGAATTCCTTTTTGTTTTCTTTTTATTTTGAAATAATTATTAATTCACAGAAAGTTGCACAGATAGTACAGACTGGTCTGTATAACTCTCCCCCGGTTTCTCATTAGTTATACCTTAAATAACTATAGTATAATATTAAAAAATTTGACATTGATATACTGGGTCTGTATATAGTTCTGTGTCCTTTTATCACATGTGTAGATGCGTGTTATCATGTAATCAAGAAACAGAATTAATGAATTCCTTTTGATGCCAAGGTTACTTTTACCAGTTGAGTTTCTGGAAGAGAGAAAGAGAAGCCAAAATTGATAGTTAAATTATGGGCTTTTCCTTTCGACTGTGTTCCGAAAAGAATATGACTTGGATATGTAAGCTGTGGTTCCTAGTTTGAGGAGGCGTGGAAAGCTGGATGATTCACCAGAACTGATGGAGGATATCTTTTTGTAGGTGTCTAAGCAGGCCAAAGAGTTTCTGGAGTACGTGTACGAAGAGCCCCTGATTGACATCCAGCAGGAGAACCCCATGCTCTACCGACACGCCGAGCCGCTGGCCGCGGTGGTGCGGCTGCGGCAGCGGCTCAAATCGCTGCGAGCCTATTTGTTCAGCTGCAGGGCAGCAGTGGCCGAGGATCTGCGCCGCAGGTAAGAGTCATAAATGTCAGATGGCTCCAGTTTGTTTTTCTTTCCCACCCTGAGAGGGTGGTTACATGATCTCCAAGGGCCTTCCCAATGTAGATCGTCTCGAATTCTGTGGTTCTCCCTCTGGGCTCATCTGTGACTTTTTCCTCTGAGGTCCTCTATCAGGTTGAGCCAAGCAAAATGAAAATAATATCTCAGCATAACTGTAGGCTTTTAACCCGTGGATCGAGTTCCCAAGACAGTGAAGACGTCTCTTACCTCTAGGTTGAGATAATAACGTGGCAGTGTCTTCATTGATCACTTCTGTGGTGTTTTTCACTTTTCCCAATTTCAGTTCCCATTTATCATAAGTAAACATAAGCATGTTTGAAATATTTCAAACACAAAAACATGTTTCAGTGGGGAATAACCAGATGGTTATTCAAATCTTATTTTCCATAGAGAAACAGCCTTGGTGAGTGATGCAGGCTCTAGGGCTGGGATTAAAATGCGCAGGCGCAGGATTCTGCCTTTTCACATCACCGTGGGTGCAGGCTGCCTTTTTATAGCTTAGTTATTGCAGAAGTCATAGAACACACAAGTCCATACCAGGCTCAGATTCTCAAAATAAAGCTAAAGTGAAAACATGCCTGCTCTCATCAAATTCCTTCTTTTACAGTTAGATTTTATTGGCAATTAAATTCTCACTCTTGGCATATACAAACTAGCTTATACTTGAAATCATTGTTGATGATGTTCATAAGTCCCTAAAAATACCTTTTAATGTTTTTTTTTAATAGAAATGACCAAAAAACATACATTAGTCATGGATTTTCGAGATAAGCCTACATGTATAAGAACCTTTGAGAAGTATTGAAGTGATATAGTTTGCTATTTGAGATCCAAAGAAACTAATATATAACCCCAGGCATCTGAAAAAGACATTTTTTTTTAAGAACGAAATGTAGATAGTGAAGAATACATAATATCTAGACAAGCGCTCATAAAATAATAATGAAAAGGCAGCTGCCATAAAGCAAAATACTTCTTAGTGGTAGTCATTCAATTACCTAGTTGTTTTTCAGAAAGCCCTAGAAAGTTGTCAGGATTTATTCTTACAAAGTTTAGGCAAATATTAATTTTAAAAGATCAGGGCTTTCCCGGAAAGGCGGTAGAATTATATGTCTCAAGCTAATTTACCAACTAAACTAGATACGAGATTTTTAATGTTCAAAGTATGTTTGTTCTATTATTTTCAGTATCCTTTGGCTTTGCTCAAAGCTCCTTTCTCTTGTGCTATATTTTTGGATGATATTAAAATCTACACATGGTAATCATGTTAAGTATCTTCTTGATATGATGTTTTGCTTTGGTTAAACATGCCAAATCAGGGCACACATTTGGAAATTAAATAGGAGATGCCCTCTTCATATGGATGATTAAGAATACCTATGCTGGCTGCGATCTATTGAAAGTCAGCCCTCGACACAAGGGTTTGTAAAATGAAAAAGAAAAAAAAAAAAAAAAGAATACCTATGCTGGGCCGGCCGAGTGGCTCAGTTGGTTAAGCACACGAGCTCTGAGCAACAGGGTCACCGGTTCAATTCCCACATAGGCCAGTGAGCTGCACCTGAGCTGAGCTGCCAACAGGTGACAGGATGGCTCAGCTGGTGAGAGCACGTGCTCCTAACAACAAGGTTGCCAGTTCAACTCCCGCATGGGATGATGAGTTACGCCCACCCGCAACTAAGATTGAACACGGCACCTTGCGTTGAGTGGCCGCAAGCTGCCTTTGGGCAGCCAGGTGGCGACTGGACTTGGAGCTGAGCTAGCTGCGCCCTCCACAACTAAGATTGAAGGACAACAACTTGGCTGTTCCCCTCCCCCAATTCCCCAATAA